TTGCAATATTGATTAGCTAATTATCTAGCTGAAAGGAAAGGAAATAACTACAGAACTTTTATTTCCCTGTAACAAATTTCTTTTATATTCTAGATTGAACCCCAAATATGTACACGCCATGAACAACCTTGGAAACATCTTGAAAGAAAGAAATGAGCTCCAGGAAGCAGAGGGGCTGCTGTCTTTAGCTGTGCAAATACAGTATGTTAAAAGAAAGAAAAATGTTTGCATCAACTGATCACAAATAGTACAATGGAATCTTGTATTTCAAATGCTAAAATATATTTTAAAATTTGCCTAGGCCTGATTTTGCTGCTGCATGGATGAATCTAGGAATTGTGCAGAACAGTTTAAGAAGGTTTGAACAGGCAGAACAAAGCTACTGGACAGCAATTAAGCACAGAAAAAAATACCCAGATTGTTACTACAATTTAGGACGGTTGGTAAGTATGTTTTGGAATGAAATTGTGGCAATATGATTAAAAAGTTATTTAAATTGTGATTGCTGGATTTCAGTGTAAGTTCTGCTTTATTGTGCAACACTGAAAATGGCTCAGATATTCTTATATGTAGATTTGGGGGTGATCTCAAGGCCATCTTTTGTCAGTCCTGAACCTACTTCTTTCTCCTCAACAAAAGAGCCATACTTCCTGAGTCGTCATTACTTTTTCATATAAAAACATATAAATAAAAATGATGTGGATAATCTTAGCTTCTGTGTATCACAAATCTACCTTTTCCTCCAGGAGTTACTTTTCAAAATCTTGGCTTCAGTTCTAAAAGAATATCAGTATATTTCAGTAATCTGTAGTGTAACAGAGCTATACCAAAAAGAAAAATTCAATGCAGATTAATGTCAATATTTTATTTAGATTTCTTTTTTTAAAGAAAGATGGATATGCCCATCCTTTCCCTCTTGGCACATACATATCTGAAAACAATACACAAATCATACAAGCAAAGCAAAAGGAAAATCTGTGATTTTTTTTTTACAAAAAGCAATTTCTCTCAAGATTTAAGAATACTCCTACTCTTAAAACACTTTATACTGTCTTTAGTGCACCCTTATCAACTGAATGGGATAGTATTCTGATACTACATAAAGAAGTGTTTTAGTCTCCTTTTATGAAAAAAGCATGGGGAACACTGAACATGACAAATGAGCATGGCTGTACCATCTTTAGCATGAACAAAAGCAAATCAGGACATAATTACTGTGGATTGCCTTACTTTCAGTATGCAGATTTGAATCGCCACATAGATGCATTGAATGCATGGAGGAATGCTACAGTTCTGAAACCAGAGCACAGTTTGGCTTGGAACAACATGATTATATTACTTGATAATACAGGTATAGTATATTAAGGGTTTTGATGGTTACTTAAACCTTGAAGTTAGAGATAGAAGAATAGCAGAAATACAAACCTGACTGAGATTTTTAGGGATGTTTATGAATAGTATATGATGAAGTCTGGACTCCTCTCTCCTTATTCCCATTACCCCACAGAAACCTGAACCTCTCTCTCCTTTCCTCTCAAAGAAACAAGGATCTCTTTCCCCGCCCCTTCCTGTCTATGGCCAAGGTGGGTGTTTGCACTCCTATATTGTGTCCCTGACTTCCCCTTCCCCCAGACAGGGAGAAAAGAAAGTTTGGCACTAGGAAAGCTGCCCTTCTGTGCCACATAGGGCCCATGATTAGCTTCGTCAGTTCCAGGTGTGGACCTCCTTCCCAACATTGACACTCCCTTTTCTTCCTCCTGTGTCATGTTCCCTCTCCCCCTCCTCCTTCTCTCCTACAGCCTGAGCAGTGAGGGTCTGATAGGAAGCAAGTCACTGCAATTGTCAATGGAGTTTGGGGTGCTGTATTCACTGTTCAAGCCACAGGCATGTTGCCTTCTAACTCTTCTGTCTGCTGACATGTTCTAGGTATCTAGAGCACGTTAACATAGTCTCACAGGCTTCATCTGGGACTGTTAAGGTGCAACACACAGCCTGTGACTGGGATAGTGAATCCCAGCAGTGCCCCAACTCTTTCAGAGTCATGGCAGCTTTCCGGTGGCAGTGCTGTTTGCTGTGTTCTTTGGAACCAAGTGGTGGTGAATGTTTCTGGTCTCAGTCTGTCTTTCTCACACATGCACACTTTTTGTGCCTGCATGTGTATGTTCTTGGGTTGAAAATTATTAGATATAAGCCTAAATTGCTAATTTCAAAATTGCATGTGATAATTGGGAGAATTATGAAAAACTTAGGGAAGGTATTGGCATCTCTGGATATAGTGAACATGGACATAGACTGGATTAGGTTACACACTTAAATTTTAAAAGCCTTACAGCCTTCTGAAGCAGATTCATGCTGTTGCTTCCTCTGACTTACTGAGAAATTCTATACACTTCAGAATCTCCAGTGAAACAGTGGGAGCTTTGAAATGTGGAAGTGAAATAGTAAATTTAGTTGTACTTCAGAAGCAATATGAGGCCACAAAACATTACTAATTGGAGCTTGATTTTTCAATTGAGGTTTGATTTTGCTGGCATTATTTTGCATCCACAAGGAATTGTGGAGACAGCTGGTGTGCCTGTTTTCCGTGTACAAATCAGATTTTCAAACTGAAGTGATGACAACAGGGAGGGCTGGGGGAAGGATATTACTTCCTATGAAAGTAACCAGAGTCCATAGCAGAAAATGAAGCTCTTAAATTAAAATGATGTTCCTCAGCTGGATCATGGTCGGATGAACATGTTTATGCTACAGAGCAACACTTAAAACCATTACATGGAAGGAATTCAACTCATACTTTCTATTAAAGTGTGTTCAAAACAGGAAGGCGTATTGCTTTGTTTCTATAAGGCCCGCTTTAGCCAAATTATCACATTTTCTTTATCAGCAGAAATATACAATATGGGTCTTTACAAAGTACCTGCTTTTTTTTTTTTTAAGTAATTTGAGCATTATTTATAAGTTCCAGATTTTGTCATGGTTAGTTTTAGTAAAACTCAAGGATGGGTTGCAGGCTTTGGTGAATTTTTGTTTGCCAGCAGCCTGTCAGTGACTTTTATTAAAAATAGCCTGGGTGGAGAGGGGACACAAACAGGCCCTCATCACCAGCCCCACCCTGCACTTCCAGCCAGACCCCCCTCACCATGAACTCATGTCATTGAGGTCATTATATTTGAAAAGTCATGGAGATCGGGAGAGATCCCGGATGATTGGAAAAAGGCAAATGTAGTGCCCATCTTTAAGAAAGGGAAGAAGGACAATCCAGGGAACTATAGGCCGGTCAGTCTTACCTCAGTCCTTGGAAAAATCATGGAGGGGATCCTCAAGAAATCCATTTTGAAGCACTTGGAAGAGGGGAAGGTGATCAGGAATAGTCAGCATGGATTCATGAAGGGCAAGTCCTGCCTGATCAATCTGATTAGCTTCTATGATGAGGTAACTGGTTCTGTGGAAATGGGAAAGTCAGTGGATGTGATATCCCTTGACTTTAGCAAGGCTTTTGATACCGTCTCCCACAATATTCTTGCCAGCAAGTTAAGGGAATGTGGATTGGATAAATGAACAGTAAGATGGATAGAAAGCTGGCTGAAAGGTAGGGCCCAGTGGGTAGTGATCAACGGCTTGATGTCAGGATGGCGGTCTGTTTCTAGCGGAGTGCTCCAGGGTTCAGTTCTGGGACCAGTTTTGTTCAACATCTTTATTAATGACCTGGATGAGGGAATGGATTGCACCTTCAACAAATTTGTGGATGACACTAAGCTAGGGGGAGAGGTAGATATGCTAGAGGGCAGGGATAGAGTCCAGAGTGACTTAGAAAAATTGGAGGATTGGGCCACAAGAAATCTGATGAGGTTCAACAAGGACAAGTTTAGAGTCCTGCACTTGGGATGGAAGAATCCCAAGCATTGTTACAGGTTGGGAACCAACTGGCTAAGTAGCAGTTCTGCAGAAAAGGACCTGGGGATTACAGTGGTTGAGAAGCTGGATATGAGTCAACAGTGTGCCCTTGTAGCCAAGAAGGCTAATGGTTGCATTAAGAGGAGCATTGCCAGTAAATCCAAAGATGTGATTATTCCTCTATTCGGCTCTGGTGAGGCCACGTCTGGAGTATTGTGTCCAGTTCTGGGCCCCCAATTACAGGAAGGATGTGGATGCATTGGAGAGGGTCCTGCCAAGGGCAACCAAAATGATTAGGGGGCTGGAGTGCATGACCTATGAGGAGAGACTGAGGGATTTGGGTCTGTTTAGTCTGCAGAAGAGAAGAGTGAGGGGGGATTTGATAGCAGCCTTCAACTTCCTTAAGGAGGTTCCAAACAGGCTGGAGAAAGGCTGTTCTCAGTAGTGACAGATGGCAGAACAAGGAGCAATGGTCTCAAGTTGCAGTGGGAGAGGTCTAGGTTGTATATTAGGAAAAAATATTTCACTAGGAGTGTGGTGAAGCACTGAAATGGGTTACTTAGGGAAGTACTGGAGTCTCCATCCCTAGAGGTGTTTAAGTCTCAGCTTGACAAAGCCCTGGCTGGGTTGATTTAATTGGGATTGGTCCTGCCTTGGGCAGAGGGCTGGACTTGATGACCTCCTGAGGTCTCTTCCAGCTCTATGGTTCTATGATTCTATGAACTCCAACCCCTTGGGTGCCACCCGATAAACACTGTCCGTGTGTGGAATGTCTTCTGTTATGTTACATCACCTCCATATTGATGCACATAACAAAAGTCATTCCACACATGGACATAGAAGATTAGAGGAAACACTGGCAGGGGCTGACTCAACCCTAGCTGCCAATCCAGTGGCTGAGGATCGCTGTTCTGTGATCCTGTGACTGGCAGCTGTGCAAGCCCTGCCCTAGAAGTACCAGAGGTCTCAAAGTGCCAGAATCTGTGACCTCCATGAGAGAAACACAGCTTTATATATAATACAGTATACATATGCTCATAGCTATGTTTTCTTTTCTCTCCCTTCTCTTTTTCCTCATGCTATGCACTCCCAGGGAACTTAGCACAGGCTGAAGCAGTTGGAAGAGAAGCCCTGGAACTGATACCTAATGATCATTCTCTTATGTTTTCTCTGGCAAATGTACTGGGAAAATCACAGAAATATAAGGTACGTAAAGCAGGGGTGGGGAACATCCAGCATGCCGGCCACACGTGGTTAGTTCATCAGTGTTAGCTGCTGGCAGGCCACCAGAGAGTTAGTTTAGCAAGCATTCTCAGGCACAGAGCCCTGTAGCTCCCAGTGGCCGCTTTGTGCTGATTTTGGACAATGGGGGCTGCAGGAAGTAGCAGTGGCCCAGCCTGCACCACTTCCCACAGCTCCTGTTGGACAGTAACTGCGAACCACAGCCGCTGGGATCTGCAGGACTCCATGCCTGTGGACACTTAGGTAAACAAAGTGTCTAGTGGTCTGCCAGTGGCTAACTGACGAACCCCATGTGGCCCATGCGCCAGATGTTCCCCGCCCGCTGATGTAAAGGGAAGTGATGTGAATTTTTGCATTAAAAGTGAAATCTGTGGAAGGAAGGCACTGGTCTGTGACTCAGCAAATTGGAGTTCAGTGTCCTGCTGTGCCACAGAACTCCCCATGTGACATTGAGCAAGATACTTAAATCTCTGTGTGTCTGTTTTCCAAATGTGAAATAGAGATAATTCCTTAATACCCACTGTGTCATGAGAATAAATGGGTAAATGTTGGGATAGTGTTTTTGTGAATTTTGTTTAATTTAAATTTGCTGTGGTGAATACTTTGAAAAATAGAAGCCAAATAATGTGTTCAAGTCTGCAGACAGGACAGGACTGAAGGAACCAACCAGTCCTTGTACTTGAGCATTAAGAAAACATCTGCAAATAAGAAAGTAAACACAATTCATCTGATAAGTGCTAGACATTTGTTTCTGAAAGTAATTGACTGCCCCGGGTAAAAAGGAATAGTCTATTGATTAAATATTCTCATCAGTATTTGGCACTATTGCTTCAGCATGAAGGAGAAATAAAAAAACATTAGACTACATAATGTAAGGGCAGCAAGGAAAATGCATTTAACTGTTCCATTTGGTCTCATTTTCTGTAATGGATAATTTAGGAGCAAGCAAGCAAAAAGTTAAATCCTGCATCTGTGGAGTGTTTTGCAAAAGGCTCAGCAGTGACACACAGCTGTACATACGTGGCACAAAGGTGTCTTAGCTATGTTTGCTTGTTAAAGAGCCAAAAGTTAATCTTGTTTTCTGGAATCACTGACTGAGAATAAGCCACCTACTATGAATAAATGTAGTTGCCCTTGCTGCCTCTGTGTTCATCCTCATCATCTGAAATGTAAGTGACAGGAAGAGATGTATAATTTGAGAAGCTTTTAGGATTTCTCATATAAACAAGTTTGCTTTAATAGGGTCCTTTGATTTGTAGCAGGACTCATAGCATTTCATGAGAAGCCTTTCAGAATAAAATATATTTTTCTCTCTATTTGTCCTCCCTTAGCACTAGCAATACTTGCTGTTGCTAGTTTTGCTAATTAATGTCTGTATGGCCATCGCTGTTTCACTTGGTTGTCTTTGTATTTCCTGATTTTCTCCAGAAGAGAGTATGTCATAAGATATTATATTTGAGATGTTTAACCATGTTGAATGGCTGCTAATGTCTATTACTGTTTTCAGAGACAAATATCCTGTCTGAGGAGATTACAGGTTAGTTTTGGGCTTCTCTCCTGGATGAGAGACAACAGAGTCATCAATAGAATTAGGTGGCTGTTCTCAAGGCTAATGACCAGGGTGGTAGAGCATAGACTTTTTAAAAAACGAGATAAAGGAAAGAAAAGAATGATACAAGACTAACAAGCAAGTTTGCTGTAATTGTCACAGAAGAAACACGCTTTCAGAGAAGAATTAAAAATGAAGAGGGGGAACAGCTTTGATGACCAGCTCAGGAAAGTCATTCTGTTTGCAGTGGAGTCCTATGGACAATATTACAGAGATGGTTGTGGGAAAAAAATGGGGCTCTGAGATTGGCATAATTAATTGAGTGGAAGGAACCAGAAAGTGGTATGATCAATGGGGAAGTGTAGTGTTATGCAGGGTCTTAAAAGGCACTAATAGGCAACTTGAGCTGGGTGTGGTGTAGCAGGGGAGAGCAAGTGGAAGCATTTCAAGAAGGGACTAATGTGCTTTGTTCAGTATGGAAGGATAATGATCTTAGCAGCTACATTTTGTACGGACTAGAGGGAAGGAATGTAGGCATCAGGAGGAATAGGTTACATGGGAGATGACGAGAGCCTGGACAAGAGTTCCAACTGTAAGGACAGAGAGAAGATATATTTGAGAGATTTCTTCTAGGAAACAGATTCAAGATTAGAATGTGTCAAGTGCCTAGAAATGTTGAGTGCAATTTGTGTTGGGGAGAAAGATTGAATGATGGTATGGTTTCCAGCACTCAATGGATAGATATTTTCATAAACTTGTCTGCATAAGAGTTGCTAAAGTGTCAGTTACACCCTTGAAGCACACTAGGTGTATTTTTTCTATCTAGACTCCTTTTGAAGCATTCTATTGATTTGCAAGTGTCTTGCCAGCTTGAAAGCTAAGTTTTCTTTCAGTATGATTATAGCAGTGTTCCCTTTCATTTCAAATTTACTTTGCATTTTACCAGAATTGATGACTTGCTGTTACAGAAATGTAACTCCTGAGATACAAAAGATAGAACTTCTTATTTGAGATCTTGCTTTAGCAAATTAGTTTCCTTTCTTAAGAATGCTCCATTTTGAAATGGACAAAGCAGCCACAGATCTCAGAAGCAATCACTAATGATTTTAAAGTAAGTATTATGTTTATATCCACAGTGTTTTTTATTCAAGAAATACAAGATGTTAGCCCCAATGGCTAATTCAGTGAGTCTCCATATTTGAGCAAAAACAAATTCCAATTTTGGGCTGAAACTGGGGCAGCGGATGGAATAAGGGGCATGCCTTTTCAAAGCCTTTGTTATGAACCGTGCTGCAAGTATCCTTACAACACTTCATTTAAAGATTTGGCTGTCCAGACCAACTGAAATATTGCCCAGTGTACTGAAACGTTAATTTAATGCACATCTCTAGTAATATGAATGGGATGTTCTTAAACTGCCATCTGATTCTCTTCAACTAACTGCTGAGCAATGCAATGGCAATAAAATCTTTTCAGTAAGTATGTGCCAGAAGGCATATGGTAATGGGATTCAGCTGCAAACTTGTTTTATTAAGTTTTCTGGGGAATACCATACACAATAACTGTACTCTATTATAATACTTGGATAGAGAAGGAGTGAGTTCCTATATTTGCTGCTCCTGCTATGTGGCTAAGAGCAATTTATTGAAGTAACTGTGCTCATCTATGCACTCTGGCTGTATCTTCATAATGGAAAAAGTAGAAGTCTAAAATCTTAGACTGTCCAACATATTGGATGATGTAACAAAGACAGCAGAGATTCCAACATTGTGGGAAGGGTGACTTAAATAATATTTTACGTTTTACCTGCTCCTGAATTTAGGGAAAACTGTGTGTGCATGCGTGTGAGTGTGCGTCTGTATGTATGTATGCCAATCCTGTCCCCAAAGGCTACTTTTCACACTTCAAAGAATTCAGACACAGGGTTCAGTAACTTATTTCCAAGTAAGAACAGAATAGGCCTTTATTGCTGCTTATAGAACTTCTCTCACAGGACAGCCTATATTTGGTTTTGTGGCCTAGGATGTAACGGTCTTATACACCAGTGAGTCATCTAGGGGACAATGCATTGGACAGTGACTCTGTGCTTTAAGGTATGCCTACACGGCAGCTATAAGGTACAATTCCCAGCATAGATAGACGTAGACTTGCATGCTAGTTCTGCTCGAGCTAGCACCAAAAAATATCATTGTGGCTGAGGTGGCACAGATGGTGGCTTGTGCTAACTGCTAAATACATACATGGATGTTGGTTGGCATTACACTCTTGCAGTTTGCCCAAGCTGCTGTTCATGTTGCAGCAGCCATACTGCTGATTTGAGTGCTTCAGCTTGAGCAGAGCTAGCCTATCTGTCCACAATGAGACTCACACATCCCAGCTGCTATATGGATATACCACAGACTCAGGGAACACAAAACATATCACTAAGGGTATGTCTACACTAAATTTTGTTAGCCAAGCATATGTTGACACCCAAAAGTCGCCAAAACAAAAATCACCAGAGGATGTTCACACTTGCTCCCTCTGTTGACAGATCATGCTCACACTGGTGGTACCATCAACAATGTGAGTAATGCACTGTGGGTATGTGAGGTGGGAAGGCAGGGCTGATCCCTGCACATCTTGGCATTTCCCTTCCGTTCTCCACTAGAGCTCTCCATGCTGAGGAATGTAATGTAGCACAGCAGCTTGTCCCCCTCCCTTCCTGCAGCAGCATTCTGCCTGCCCCAGTGTTCCTTGTGCAGGGAAGAACAGGAGCAGTATAATGATTTGCTTTTTGTTTTCTTTCTAAAGAGAGCAGCTCACACAGCTGTCAGTTCCTGGAGCTTTGAAAGGGGAGGATTGCATGCCTACAGGGCAGCAGAGTTCAAAGCTGAGCAGAGCCATTGGGGCAGGCATTGTAGAATACTGGTGGAAGACAGGTCTGTCTACAAAACAAACAGCAGATCCTATGCTGTCTCTTTGTTGACATAAAGGAAGGGGAAAATAAAGTCTCTCATAGAGGTGGAAATTTTTCCCCCAACAAATGTCCCATTGCTCTCACTGTTTTGTTGCCAAAAGACAGGTTTCAATATCAAAACTTTCTAGTGTAGACAGTCTTAGAGCTACCTTTTAGTGTTCTGCCTGGGAACTGAGCTGGAGACTGTCGAAGAATCTAAAATGTACAGCAGCACAGAAACTACCTAAAATTATCTTTCTAAAATATGTAAACTTAACTTTTTGTTTAATATATATATTTTTTAACAAGAAAGATTCTCTGGACACAGAGCAAAAGTCTGCATACTAGTAGCTAGCTTCAGGAAGATACAAATGGAAGTGGTTAAGAAACTGACCAGATTCTTATAATCTTGGCTTTGAATGCTTGGTGTCATGAGAAGACTATTCTTCTAAAAAGTTTCTAAAAGTCAACAATGCTCAGAGGACACTTTCAGAAGTAGTGATTTTTTTCAGTGATTTGTAGTGTTTATCTTTTAAAATACTGGTACTGTTCCTCAATTTGGATTATATTCAGACCTTAGCTTCAGATGTGTTTTTACTTTAACTGTTTTAATAGTTAAAAAGTGGTTATTTTTATAACAGTGGGAAGAATGTAACTTAAAAGGCAAAAGCTTTTTCTTAAAACTGAAAAGCAATATAAAATGGAATATGACCTTCGGCCAAGAATAAGCAGGGGAAACTTCTTAAAAGATTAATATTTTGAAGCTTTAGAAGTATGTGAAAATTTGAATAAAATGCAAACAGCTGTGCAAATTTAACTGTAGTGTATATTGATTGTTGCTTGCTAAAATAGTAGTAGCTTGTGATACTTTGGTGCTTGTGTAGGAAGTATTAATGCAGTTTATATTTGGTGGAGAGCAAGTGTTCAGGCAGTATTATATATAGCATTGTGGGAAGGTATTATATTGTATAGATGAGAAAATATGGCTACAATTTAATACAATTTGTGAAATCTTTGATAGTGTTTGCATTGTGTGTACTACATTTTGCATTGTGTGTATTACAATAGTAACCTATACTGTTGACATCTTCTTTCAAATTATTCAGGAATCTGAAGCTTTGTTCCTCAAGGCAATTAAAGCCAATCCAAATGCAGCTAGTTATCATGGTAATTTAGGTAAGAACCTTTCCAATTCCTCAAATGCAAACTTTTCTCAAATGCACTGTTTGTTCCCTTATGTTCACTGTGTATAAAAAGCAGTTTTGAGACTGTTCCTGCTGGGTGGATTTCTATTCTGACTAATTTCTAGAAAGCCATCAAGGAAATGGGGCATCAAACACTGAAAGCTGTCACATGATATGATAGATCAGACAGGCTGCACATAGTAGTGTAGAAATGGTTGAACTTCAGTGGCTGCAAATTGGTTCATTTGAGTTATGCTTATAAACCTTTACGAACTCACATTAATACAGTAAATTATGACTACAACATAATTCATTCCTCCATCATTCTATGGCTGGTTCTTTCCCCAAGCTCTGCTCCTGCAGCTGGCAGAAGAACAAACTACTACTGTGCCACTAACCAGAAAAAAAAAGTCTTTATTGGAAACAAATGCTTTAATGTCGTTTTCCAAGTGATTGGCAAGATTGCACATTATTCAACAATATTGCTAATGAAAACTCTTCATTGCTGTTTCAGCTGTGCTTTACCATCGCTGGGGAAATCTTGACTTAGCCAAGAAACACTATGAAGTCTCTCTGAAGCTTGACCCTGCTGCACCCGGGACCAAGGAAAACTACAGCCTCTTAAAAAGAAAACTGGAACAATTGCAAAAGAAAGGCGATGTCTGATGTTTCTTTTTAGGCTGTCAGTGCATGCTACATACATTTTAAATGTTACATGGATACTTTTAACCATGTAAAAGATTCAGTCACACAGTTTTTAAAAATTACAGCACCACCAATGCACACTCAAATACTTGATTTGATCTTATATTGGATATATGGGGGTTTTTTTAGTTCACGCAACTGTAAATTCAAGAATTTCACCTCAATATTAGTTATCTTTCTGGTTTTTTTTTTAATTTAACTGTTTTAAAGTCCATTAAATACACTGACATGGGTATATGAAATGTAGGCTTGAGTTTCACAACTTTTCTTCACAACACAGTAAGTAAATAGCAAAGTTTATTTTCATATGCTGTTGACTCATTCATCTGATTTTTAGTAGCAGGGTAGAATATTAAAATGCAAAAAGTGACTGTAAAAATGGCACTCACCTACTTGAAAATGTGATTCCTTACATATATGCAGTCATAGCTATTCACATCAGAGAATGAAATGGATTCCATTTGCATAGCACATCAACAGAATAGTTAAACATTACAACTGTAGGTCCAAATTCTGTCCTCATTTGTGCTGGCGCAAACTCGTTGGCAAATCTGGAGTTGGCAAAAGTGTAAATGCAATCATTTGACAAGCATAGGGTTATCAACTACATGTGATGGTGCACTTGGTCAATGTATTTTAGGGTGCAAGGACCCTAAGGACAGAGTCTTCCCAGAGCAATGTAGTGTAACAAGTGGGCAGCAGTGTCTTAACAGTGCCGATCCAAGGTTTTCCCCATCAGCCTCTGCTGGCGGAGTTCCCCTAGAACCATTCCCAAATAGCAGGTTAAAGTTGTTGTAACCCTTATGGTAAGATGGTAGGGCAAACGTCTATGCCAGGGGTTAATCTTTATCCTCTTGAGTATAGTAGCTCCCACTGGTTCAGAAAGTTGCAACTTGGAGTCCCTGTGTCAGGGATGAACTAAGCCCAAAGCTGTTGTGCATGTGTAATTGACACAGAAACTAGCCTGCAGAATCCTTTGCTACTGGCACTGAACTGAAAGAACTCAAGATTTGCTTTCAGATCTTAGGATGCGTTTGCTAAAGTCATGGTTAGGAGGAAAAGTCTTTTGATTTGTAAACTGAGAAAATACTATATGGAAATAACTAAGATACTTGAACAGCCTCACTATTGGAGTATGCTGCATTTCAAACTTAGCAGCACTAAGGAGGGAGTTAAATGCTATTTGTGTGCTAGTATTTTAGCTCATTGTAATATTGCTGTTTCAGTAAATATTTATCTTTTTATAAAGAAATGTGAAGGACAGTCTGTTGGATATGAGAATTGAGATTTGACTACCTCTTTCTTCATGTCCCTGTGTTCTATATTTTTTCCATAGGAAGAAACTGATTCATGCAATATTTGCAGATTTCCTAACTTGTGTGGTAATATTGTATAGGCAGTTCTGGAATACTCTTAATATATCACTCACCTAAATATGAAACTGTTTAATACGTAAGGTGCATGTCTGCCATAGTAAAGAATATTACATGACATTACCCTTCTGAATACCACGTAAATATTTTACATCTATAGTACAGCATTTTAAAATGTTGTTTTGCTTGTAAAAGCGTGCCACATTTTTAACTAAAATACAAGTGGCAAGTTTTTATAGATATTTTATATTCTGTCCTACAGCTCAGACTAATATGCATCAGATGTAGGAGACATTGTGTTAAATAGGCCTCTAGACCAAAAAAAAAAAGATGGATTTTGCTATGGAAACTAGTTTCTAGCAGACAAAAGAAATGACTTTTCACAGAAAAAGCCATATTTGTTTATTCATGTCTGATGTAATTAAGTTCTAAATTATTGTTCTTGTCATGCAGTTCATATGTATAATCATCCTTATTGGCATGTACTGTTAGTTTTGTATTAATCCAATAGATCAATATGATACCAAGGGCATGAAATCTGCATTTCATTAAGCAGCAAAGCATTATATGCATTCATCTTGGGATGCTGACTTGTCCTCCTACTCTGAATTTCTGATGGATTGGACCTCCTCTTTTTTACAAGTTAGTATTTAAAATGTTGGTTTACTTTTCTAGTACCAATCTTATGATCTCTTCTTGATTTATTTTCAGGCTATTTAACATCATTTATCTTTGTGTTGGTCTTCATTGTTTTAATTTATAATTCATTATTTAGTGCAATAAAAATTGAAAGGTAATCACTTACATGAACATAACGATATACTTAAGCCAGAGTATAATATTGGAGCTCAATTGGCTTCTGAAGAAGCCAATGTATAAGATTGTTTATATAAAATACATATATTTTTCAAGAACTAGGGCTGTAAGCTTAGGCTTATCAGGTAGTCAAGTCGCTACTCGCTCCCCCCCCACTTTGCCTTGCTGCCTCTGTATCTGGGGCAGCAAGGGGGAGGGAGGGAAGCAGGAGCCGGTTCTCTGGGAGCCAACTTCAAAGACCTGGCAGGATTTTACTACATTTAAAATGCAGAGCTGCTGTGGTCCTGGAACTAGTGAGAGTCGGAACTCCTTGATTAGCTAATTAACCACTACTTAACATTCCTAACACTAAATAGAATAGCCAATCCATGTTATCCTCCCAATTTGCAGTTCATTCTCAGGGTATTAGGATTATTTAAATATTTACAAATGTACCTTTTTAAAATGTTTAGAAAATATTGCCTGCAAGAGAAAAATATATACAGGGAGTCCCTGTTCACATGGGGTATTGTGTTCCTGAAAAAGACGATGGATATCGAAACAACATTTATGGGGAAAAATTCCCCAATATGAAATCATGGACTAAGGAAGGTGATGCATTCACAACTTCACCACACTCATCTATGACAGTGTTCTTTTTTCCTAAATCAGGGGCAGGGAAACTTTTTTTGGGTCAGGGGCTGCTGACTCACAGAAAAATCAGTTGGGCGGGAGCCAGTGAGAGCTGGAGTACTAGCACAGGCTCCCCAATGCTAGGGGGGAGGAGCCCTGAGCTCCAGGGGCTGGATCTAGGCAAGCCAGGGACAACATCTTTAGATTCCCCACCCCTGGCCTACACAGTTCCTTTTTACAATGGCAGGTTATACAGTGCACATTTTACACATAAAATAAAGAATAAAATAGTGTAGACCCCTACTAACACCATTCAAACACGTAGAACTTTTCAATACAATAAATAAGGTACAGTAATAGTATAAAAAAGTCAACTATGCTAAACTTAGATACGAGTGGTGGGGGTTTTCTTGGGCTTGCTTTTTGATTACAGAAGTCTTAAGATTTTATTGATGTCTATGAATCTTTGAATGATAGAGCTCTCTGTAGCAAATTGCTGCATTAGGAGTCTTTGAGAACTGTCTGCCAAAGTTTCCAAGAGGATCACCATTCTGCATGATTTCATTCATCTCATCCAGCAATCCAAAGTTGTCTGCTTAAACGAAGCACACAAGATCTTTTATAGGGGAAAAGGCAGTATGCCACATTTACTAAGAATACAACAGTTGCATATGCTTTTCAATCACTCATACACACAAACAACATACACACAAAATCTCGCCAGACGATGTCATAGTTACCAGTCCAGAGTCTGTATCAATCTAGTGGCCAGCTAGATTGAACACGGGGGAGCAGGGCCTTTGTCAGTCGATCAGTCCGATGCTCCTCTGGATTTGGTGGCAAGACTAACCCAAAGTTCCATAGCAAAGCACCCTGCTTTTATAATCCTTTTCTCTGTTGAAATCAATGTGTTCTACTCTGTCAGCTTGTGACCGGAACGTTATCTTTTTTATGTCATTGTTCCCAAAACATTTTCCAAGGCTCATACTGTAATCAATCATCTTTCGGGGGTGCCCGCTTGCTTCAAAGCTTGTCAATCTGCCAATATCCAATCGTGTTATGAGTAGGGGTATGCATCGATGGTTATAGATGGCTTCTTTGCCACCAGGTTGTCTCGCTTTCACCCATGCTTGTTCCCCCACCCCCTTTCTTTGGCCATCTGGTTCTGAGAAATAACTTTGCACCTTGTCTCGACACATTCATTCCCCTTTCATACAAACATAAGCAATATTACAAGGACTTTCAAGGCTATGCGGCACATCAACATTATTGGTAAGACAAAGAGTTGTTGTAAATCAAGCAATTAAGGTCTCAGCCTTTAACAGTCTTTTAATCTTCATTAACACAGACACAATATGAGATCCTGTCTCTTTACTTACTAAAACTTTAGAACAAGGAAATATAGGAGATATATACTTTACTAAAGGATTTGATTTACTACAATCTTAAATATGATTATATATGACCTTACATTAGTAAACCTAAGATAATATAAAAAGAATAAAACTTTCAGTTCCAACAAACTGGAGTAAAGCACAAGATTGGAAGTAAGGACTGTGCCCTTCTGCCACTGTCAATCACTGAAATTTTGACACAGAAATGTTTCAGAAGTATTCACTAACTTTGGGAGTCTCCATTTTTTTCGAATGGCAAATTTGTCATATTTAGAGCCTGACTCAAGATGTACTGAGCAATTGCCACTACTGTTGATTTTAACTGCGAATGTCAGGACTTAGTATCTCTGAAGATCAAACTCTAGGGGCTCGTCTACATTGGCCCCTTTTCCGGAAGGGGCATGCTAATTTTTCAGATCGTAATAGGGAAATCCGCGGGGGATTTAAATATCCCCCGCGGCATTTAAATAAAAATGTCCGCCACTTTTTTCCGGCTTTTAGAAAAGCCGGAAAATAACATCTACATTGGCCCCGATCCTCCGGAAAAAAGCCCTCTTCCGGAGGATCTCTTATTCCTACTTCAAAGGAATAAGAGATCCTCCGGAAAAGGGCTTTTTTCCGGAGGATCGGGCCGGATCGGGGCCAGTGTAGACGCTCTTTTCCGGCTTTTCTAAAAGCCGGAAAAAAGCGGCGGACATTTTTATTTAAATGCCGCGGGGGATATTTAAATCCCCCGCGGATTTCCCTATTACGATCTGAAAAATTAGCATGCCCCTTCCGGAAAAGGGGCCAATGTAGACATAGCCTAGGTGTGGGTCTGAACTAGGGTTGTTAAATTTCAGTTAATCAACTGAGTCAATGGAATTCTCATCAGCTACTCAATTGATAGGTGCTCGCTATCCTGCTGTGCCTCTTACTTTGAAATGTACAAGAACCACCCACACCTCTTACACATTTCAAAGGGAGAGGTGCAGGTGGGAACCCACGTGAGCAGGGACTGCTTCAGTACACCCTCACATAGGTTCCCCCTATGTGGGCAGCTCTTGTACATTTCAAAGGCAGTGTCACAGTAGGACAGGGAGCACCTTCCTTATTGACTAATCAAGTACATTTCAAAGGGAGTGGCAAGCAGCAGGGAACTCCTTTGAGCGGGGATTGAAGCAGTCTGTGGGCAGCTCTTGTACATTTTAAAGTAAGAGGTGCAGCAGCTGGGACTGGCAAAAGTGGGGACTGCTTCAGTCCCTGCTCACACCGTTTCCTCGCTGCATCTCTGCCTCCCCTCCTGCTTTCCTGTACAGATGATGCTGGAAGAAACTGGCTTTTAAGCTGGTTCCCCTAGCACTAGCTCCTGCTCCTCCCCCTTGCTGCCTCTCTCTCTCTCTGATAGAGGCAATAGTATCTGTGGGTGGGGAGGAGGGGGAAAATGACTAGTCACTACTTGATAAGCATATGCTTATCATATAGTCAACTAATTGCTTACATCCCTACTCTGAAATTGAGGTACTCAGCTTTTGAAAATGTTAGCCTTACTGTCTCCCAGCCACAGTGTATGCATCTGCAAAATTGGAGATAATTATATTATGCACCTGTATAAAAATAGATGCGTTATTTTTAAGGATATACATCCTGGTCTTGTGTTTCTCTAACATCAAGATTCCTACACTTCTTGAACTAAGGTCTAAGGCTATGGCTACACTGTAGCCTTTTTCTGGAAAAGCTTATGCAAATGAAGTGCAGCATAATTAATTAGCCACTTTTGCGCAAGAGGCTTTTGCACAAAAAGGAGCTGTGTAGATGGCTCCTGTTTGAATAAAACCCCCTCTTGCACAAAAAGGAGCCATCTACATAGCTCCTTTTTGCACAAAAGCAGCTGCTAATTAATTATGCAAATGAAGCATGGTGATATTCCACACCACACTTCATTTACCTAAGCTTTTCCGGAAAAAGGAGGATACAGTGTAGCCGTAGCCTCAATGGGCTACAAGCAGTACATATTACCTGGGGAGATCAAATGGTAACAGTAACTGGATAAAGGAATGAGATTATAAAAGACAAAATAAGGAAGAAAGATATCAACATTTGGGTGGAGTTAGTGGGGGATTACTGTTCATACAAAGATCTAGTATCTAAAAAAATAGCTTAGTTCTTTGTCTGAACTTTCTAAGATAGTTCTGGAACTAGTTTTGCCTATTACTAGATTATATAATTTTTTTTCTGCTAGATGGTCATTTATTTCATCATGTCCAATCTTAAGAGTGTTTAAAAATAAGCAAATGACTGTGAATGTGTAAAGATCTTGATGTGTTTTTTAGTTTGTCCTTTCTTTTCCAAATTTCAAGCCCTAAATTGTAGCATATTGCTAAAACCCCAAGTGTTCGAATTAAAAACTTTGTTTCTTTATGCCTACCAAACCTCCAACAAGCATAGATACGATGTCTGGGGATTCAAACACGATCCCTGCTTTGAACAGTTTTCAGTGAGTGAATAGTACTTGTATTTTCAAAGTCCTTTACATGACTCTCTTAAATGTGCCCTTTACTAACAAATATTTTGCAATATGGAAGACTACAGCCCACTAAGAAAGCAAGCCAGAGCAGGAAGCAGGTTGCAGTAGAGGTGAAGTACTGTTCAAAGACGCAAATAGCTGTGGCTGCACGAAGCGCGTGCTGGAGCACTGGTCCTGGGGTGGGAATACTGCATGGCTGTGTTGGGAGTGCGACATGAGCAGTTGCTGTGTGTCAGGGCGGGATCCTGGCCACGAGCAAGGGAAGGGGCGGTGCTGACTGAGCGAGCGCCCGGCCTGCTCGGGGTACTGGGCTGAGGCGCACGAGCGCTGTTCATGCGCAGAGTTTCAACCGGCCTGTAACTGAACCGCACGTGGGCTGGCGGGGGGGCGGGGCTCTCCCTGGGTTTGCCCCCGAGCACGGCGCGGCCCTAGCGGCGCTACCCGGCCACAGCTGAGTTGGGCAGCGACCGCAGCGCTCTGGGCCCCGCCCCGGCGTCACGTGGCCCAGCATCGCGCACGCTCCCGAGGGGGCGGGAAGGGCGTTTCCATGCCAACGTCCTCTTGGCTCCGCCCCTTACCTTTGCCGCCGCCGCCCGGCTCCTCCCTCCGGGCCTTCCGCTGCCCTCGCCTAGACCCCGCCCTCCAGTGGCAGAGGTTGGAAGGAGCCGA